GATCCGCTGAAAGCGCGATCACACACGCGCGGTGGCCTCTCTCACAGACGCCTCTACATCCCCTGCGCCCCAAGTGCCCCACATGGCCCATCTGTGCTGCCAGAAGTCAGGCAGATCGAGCCTCCCCCCCGCCTCGGAGCCGCCACCCCCCTTCCTCCTCCTCCTCCCCTCGCCGCTAAGAGCCAGCTGCCGGAACGGCCGAGCCCCCACCGTGCGAGGGGAGGGGAAGGAGACTCCAGTCCTCCCTTTTCCCTCCCCCCATTTTGCATCCTTGCCCCTCGTGCCTGCTGGGGGAATCGTGCCACCCCCCAGATGTGGGGCACTCACTCACCATTTGATAGACTTGTGCACAGCTGTGGCCATTTTGATACGGTAGGAAAATGCCTCACCCAGCCTGGCTGGGCTGGTTGGAGAAGCAGAGGATTTCCCCCTTTCTTTTCTCTCTTTCTTTTTCTTTTTTCCACCCCCCCCCCTTTTTTACCTCTCACATCAGAATATACTGTACAATTTTATTCATTCTCGAGCAGCTTGCAGGGAGGGGGGCCAATCACAGTCCAGCTCCTTTGAGCCCGGTGCACCATGGGGAATGTAGTCTCTGGGTCTTACAGAAGATTTCTCCCCTCCACACACACAGACACTTTTTTTTTGGCATTATTATTTTTCCCCTCCTTCCTTTGCAAGCTCTTTAAACGCTGGGGGTGGAAACCAGGCATCTGTCACAAGAGGACTACAACTCCCAGAAGGCCATGCGTTTGACAGCTGGGAGCCCCACCTCCAAAGAGAGAGAGGCTGGGCTGGGGGATATTAAAAAAAAGGGGAGAGGGAGTTAATCTCACTGTAAATTGCGTTGCTGTAAAAAGCCGCCCTTGCCAATTGCAGCGCGGCTTCTGTGGAATGGCTTCTGGGGGGCGGGCGCGGGTCTCGCCCCGGCGCGCCGCAGGGGCCCGCGAAGGCCGGAATCCTGGCTCACTGAGCCGAGCGCAAGCCGGGGCATCCTGAATCAGCAGCGGCAACACCCCCGTCTGTGCAGGCTAGAGAAGTTAAAGAACCATCTAGCCTGGCTCCGGAACCGAGCAGTGTGCCTCCTTAGCAGGTGCAGAGCGCTTCCATGCATGAAACATCTGGGGTCAAGGGGCAGCTGGACCGGGCTTCAGCTCCCGGACGGCTTTTCCGCTCCAGTTCGAGCAGCCCCGCAGTCTTTCCACGGCCCGTTGGGGAGCGCTGCTCAGCGACCTCCACCCCATTTCCTCATAGCGAGGAATCAGGGGGCGGGGGCGCGCTCCACTCGACCGAGCCGGAAGGGCCCTCGAAGTGCCCGCAGTCCACCCCGCGAGAGGCGGGAGGGCTTCAGCCGCCCGTCTGTCGGACCATAATCAATACGTCCGCCAGACGACCAGCCGCGGGTTGGTGCCGGGGGAAAGTGCCCCGCCGCCGGGGCGCTAACCCACAGGGCTGAGCGCCGAGCAGAGCGGCGCGCTTCTTGCCGCCGCTTCTGCCCTCTGCTCG